AAAAAAAAAAAAAAAAAGAGGTTATGTTATGAATTTACTGGAGAGAAAGGTATGAGAATGGTTGATTAATTGGATAATGGACCAGGAACATAGAACTTATTACTGAGGTTGGTTTAAAATTTTACCCAAATGTGGTTTCCTTATTGATAAAGGAGAAGGTGATTTTATTTCATAAGAATATGTTGAATTAACTAGAATCTTAAACATATTATGATAATAGGTGTCTTTGTAGTTTAAGAATGGTTTATATTATGATGAATGGTTATGAGGTTTGAGAAATGTAAGAAGCAGTTTTGAGGAGATGTACTATATAGTATTGAAAGTACATATACAATGGAGTTTGGGGATGTGAGATGGTTGATATTAGGAATTATAATGATTGTCCTTTGGGGTATGCTAATCAAGGTGTTGTACCTAAAAGTTTAAAAATTTAAGTGCATTTAGCATTGAAAGAGAAATATGTGAGATATTAGAGCTTGTGTTTCTTTAATCAATTTAGTGAGGAGGCATAAATTAATTTATTGATTTTGTTGGATTCTTTTTGTGTGAAGGAGTTTTATTTATGATATTAATATATTCTTGTCATGGATTGTAATGGTCATTTCTGGGGAGACTGTTACCCATACAAATTGTCTTATGTTTGATAGTTCTTCTACAAGAATGTCTTAGGTTAAAGATTAAAGATAGGGATTTATAATGGAAGTATATTTTGTAGAAGTGTTACTTGGTCTCACGTGTGATATATTGTGAAGATATCCATAATCATCCAAGGTTGAATAGGGAAACTTGTGGATTTGTTTTGTGGTCTAAGCAAATGATGTTGAATAACTAATTTCCTTCAATGTGGTGATGGTTTGGTAAGGAAAGATGTTTTGTCATTAAAAGATTAGACAGATTCTTGAGGATTTAATTTGTAAGAAAATATCTTATAGGAATTCTTTTCTGAGTGATTATGGGGTTTTAACTTTCCTCAAGTGATAGTAAAATTGGAATTAGCATTGAGGACATCGGATTTTGCATTGGTCTTGAAGTTGTGATTATTAAATTTCTATGTTATAATTCTAGCATTATGGAATAAAAGAGTTCTAATATCTTGGAACAAAGAGAACAAGGTCATTTGTGTGCACAGAATTGAGATTATATATTAGGTGAATTTTAATGTCATACATATATAAATCTTGTGGATTTGAAAAGGATTGAAACGATGATTTATCAGAAGAAATCTAAAGTGCTATGGAAGTTTTATGGATGTTTATTTAGTTGGACACTGTAGGAGATTTTCTTTGAAAAAAAAAGATATATCACAAATGATTCGGAGTTAGAGTGAAATGATGGTTTGTTTTTTTTTTAATATTGAAGAATTACCTATACAGTGGAAGACTTGGAAAACTTTTACTAATTTTAAGAGGAAGTCTCTCTTGTTGGATAGACGTGAATATGAGACATAAAAATAGTGAATAGAGTTTTGAAGGATTATGATATGATCATTGCTGGTTATCTTAGTGAAGCTAACAAGTTTGTAAATTCTTTGAGTAGGAAGTTCTTGTGTAGTTTACCATATTTGGTTACTAAGAGGAGTTGTTTTGGGGGGATTAGATAAATATGAAAGTTAGATTATGAGTGTGTTTGGGTAAACTCTTAACTGCTTGTAAGTGTAGCTTAGCCAATAAAGAACATTAGAACTACACATGTAGGATAATGATTTGCTTGGGGAAGGAAATTAGTTGGAGACATGATTTAAAATGGTGCTTGTTTAGAATTATGGTAATAATTCGTTCAAGGATGGTGAATTTGGTTGTCATTAATAGGTTGATTAAGTTTGCTAATTTTCTTCACATCAATATTGGTATATCAATAGATAGACTGGTAAAGTAATATGATAAGGAAATAGGAAGGATTATTGTATTGATCACTTAATTTATCTTGTGATTTTAAGGAATTAACGAAGAAGTTTTAGTGAAATTAAGGTTTGAGATTTAAAATTGTGATGAATTATTTCTTTGAATAGTGGTAAATGATTTTGCTTGATTTATGACTTAGCAAAGTTTAGAAATTGTGATCATGAACTGGAGTGGGATTAATTTAAGTTGTTATGCAAAGATTAATTTTTGGTATCTATAAGGTCTTATGATTGATTGATGAGTCATTCATGAAAAATCTAGAAAACCATGAGATTGCCTTTACTTTAGGAGGATGATTGAAGAGGAAATTATAAAGAAGGCATGGCGTAATTGCTGTGAAGTTATAGTAGGCTATCCATAATGAGAAGGGAAACAACGTAAAAGTTGGATGAGGAAATGAAAAAGAAATATCGGGAGTTGTTCATAGACATGTTGAGAGCTTGTGTTTTAGATTTGAAAGGTGTTTAGGATGAACATTTGCTTTTAGTTGAGTTTGCCTACAATAATAGTTATCGGGCGAGTATCTAGATGGTGCCTTATGAGGCTTTATATGGCAGGAAATGTAGGTCCCCAATATGTTGGGATGATGTGGGAGAAAGAAGAATACTAAGATCGAAACTTGTTCAACAGATCGTAAAGAAAATACAACTAATTAGAGAATGCCTTTGTATAGCTCAAGTTGGCAAAACAGTTATGTTGATAATTAGAGGCATGATCTAGAATTTCAAGTGGGAGAAAAGGATTTCTTGAAAGTTTCGCCAACTAGAAGAGTCATGAGGTTTGGGATTCGAGGAAAACTTAGTCCTTGGTTCATTGGTCATTTTGAGATTTTAGAGAGAATTGGAGAGGTAGCATACAGATTAGCACTGCCACCTAATTAGTCAGAAGTTCATAATGTTTTCCATGTCTCCATGTTAAGGAAATATGTTTCAAACCCTAACCATGTAATTGAGCATTCTCTACTTCAACTTAAAGAGGATTTGTCTTATGAGGAGCGTCCGGTTCGTATCGTGGATAAAAAGGAACAAGTGCTAAGAAGACGTATAATTCCTTATGTTAAAATTCAATGGAGTAATCACACTGAATGTGGAGCAATATGGGAGTTGGAGGAGGATGCAAAGGGGAAGTATCCATACCTATTTGTCAATGCAAGTACGAGTTTAGGGACTAAACTCTTTTAAGGGGGAGAGGATGTAATACCCAAGGATTTCTTACTTAAGATTTAAATAAATTATGTAAGCTCTTAAAGGGTGTATATGTGATAGGATTAAATTTGGGGTTAAAATTATGATGAGGTGAAGGACTTAGGGACTAAACCTTATAATTAAAGCTCAGGGATTAAGTGGCAATATTTTCTTTTTGTAAAAACCCCAAATCAGATTTGGCTCGGCAGTTTCTTTTTTTTTTTTCTTTCATTCTTTTCGGGGGGAAACAGGATCGTTCTCCTCTCGCCAGCAAGGGGAAACAGC